CTTGGAAAATTTACCGCGACTTTTGAGTCCAAGCACAAAGTTACTGTTGATGATATTCATGTTATTTCTGGAAATGCAGGATGCTTACTTAGCTACAAAACCGCCAGCGATTTGATGTTAATAACGCTGCATATTAACACTGTGGATAATTGCCCGCTCAACAGTGAATACATCGCCGCACGCTATCCCCAGATTTTTGATGGTATTGGAAAATTAAAAGACTTTGAAGTCAAATTACATATTGATGAAACAGTGCCCCCTGTCGCACAAAACGCGCGGAGAATTCCATTTCACATGAGACAGAAAGTCGCCGCTGCGCTACAAGAATTAGAAGCGCAGGACATTATTGAACCCGTTGAAGGACCAACGCCCTATGTCTCACCAATTGTTGTTATCCCAAAGAAAGATGGAAAAGTACGAATTTGCGTGGACATGAGAATGCCGAATCGCGCGATACAACGTGAACGTCACCAAAGTCCTACAGTTGATGATTTGATACACGCCCTCAACGGAGCACAATTGTTTTCCAAACTTGACCTTCGGTCTGGGTATCATCAGCTAACACTTGCCCCCGAAAGCAGATATGTCACTACTTTCGCAACACACAAAGGTCTGCGTCGCTACAAAAGATTAAATTTTGGCACGAATTCAGCGGGAGAACTATTCCAACGTGTCATTAGTGATCAAATAAGAGATATTCCTGGAGCGATTAACATAAGCGATGACGTAATTATTTATGGAAAAACTCCAGAAGAACACAACAATGCACTGAAAGCTGTCATCGAGAAGTTCATAAAAGTCGGACTAACTCTGAACCGCGAGAAATGTCTGTTCGCTCAGAAGTCTTTGACTTTCTTCGGTTTCGTATTTTCCGACAAAGGTGTTTCCGCAGATCCGGAAAAAGTAAAGTCAATCCACAATGCACCAGCACCTCAATCAGCTAGCGAAATCCGCAGTTTCCTTGGAATGGCTACATATTGTGCAAAGTTCATTCCGCGTTTTAGTGATCTAACACACTCATTACGTGAACTTACCAAGAAAAACACGCCATTCCGCTGGTCAGAAAAACAACAACAAGATTTTGACGCATTAAAGAAAGCCTTGACAAGTCACACTGTCGTAGCATACTTCGATCCACACAAAGAGACGGAAGTCATCACCGATGCATCGCCTGTAGGCCTCTCTGCAATATTATCGCAACTTTCGCCAACAAAGCAAAGACGAGTAGTTGCATATGTTAGCAGAGCCTTGACACCTACAGAACGTCGATATTCACAGACAGAACGTAAAGCCCTAGGAATTGTTTGGGCAGTTGAAAGACTACACACGTATTTGTATGGAGGATCATTCAAGTTGTACACAGACTGTAAACCGATTGAAATAATCTTAAACAATCCGAAATCCAACCCTCCAGCTCGAATCGCACGATGGAACTTACGCCTGCAAGAATATAACTTTGATGTTATACACATAAAGGGACAAGATAACCCATCAGATTTCTTATCGCGACACCCAATTCAGGATACAACTTTGCATAATAACAATGCAGAAGACTACGTCAATTTTCTATCGCAACAATCCGTTCCGAAAGCAATGACACTTTCTGAGATCGCCACCGCTACTTGCAACGATGCAACGCTTCAACGTGTTATTTCAAACATTCGCGATACAAATTGGCAAGACATTTATGATAAAACTCGCACGTTACCAGAAAATATCAACAGAGCAGAACTCCTACAATTTCATAAAATTCGTCAGGAATTAACTGTCACAGATTCGAACATAGTATTACGAGATACTCGTATTGTTTTACCGAATTCACTTCGTACTCAAGCAATCAACATTGCACATGAAGGTCATCAAGGCCTAGTAAAGACGAAAAAGCTGCTACGTACCAAGATATGGTTTCCTGGTATTGATGAACGTACGGAAAATATTATCAAACATTGCTTAGCCTGCCAAGCAACTGGACCAGCCGCGCGTCCAGAACCGTTGAAAATGACAAAACTACCGCCCGCTCCATGGCACACAGTCAACATTGATTTTTTGGGACCTTTACCAACAGGGGAATATTTGCTCGTTGTCATTGATGCATATAGCCGATTCCCTGAAGTTGAAATCGTTACTTCTACATCTGCCAAATCAACCATTCCGAAACTAGAAGGAATATTTGCAAGACACGGTATTCCTGAAATTCTCATCAGCGATAATGGACCACCATTTTCAAGCAGCGAAATTCAAGAATTCATGAGAGAAACTGGACCAGTACATCGCAGAATCACACCTTTATGGCCTCAAGCCAATGCTCAAGCAGAAACATTTATGAAACCTTTAACAAAAGCTATACGCTCAGCTGTTATTGATAAGAGAAATTGGAGGAAAGAACTAAATCGTTTTTTGCTCAATTATCGTGCAACCCCACACAGCACAACTCAATTTTCGCCCGCTCAATTGCTATTTAACCGATCTATAAACACTAAATTGCCGCAGTTTACAACTGAAAATACATCAGAAACACATCAACATCTTGTCCATCGTGATTTTATTGAAAAAGGGAAGATGAAAGAGAACACTGATAGAGCTCAAAGAGCCAAAGCATCAGGAATAGATATTGGTGATACTGTCTTAGTAAAACAGCCTAAGCAGAACAAATTATCTACAAATTTCAACCCAGATCCTTACATCGTAATTGAAAAGAAAGGAACAATGCTAACTGCTTATAACGAAGGAAAAGATCATACAATCACAAGAAATATTTCTCATTTCAAAAGGTTTCCTATTCAGAAAGAAACTGAAATTGATTCTGACATAGACGATGAAGATATTATGGATATGCCAAACCGTCCAAACGTTCAAGCTGAAGTTTTGATTCCTAGATACCCTGTCCGGGAAAGGAGAAATGCTAGAAGATACGGACAAAACATTTATGAAACATGATCAACTATATTTGTAAACATTTAACTATTGTTTTGTTACTGTTCCAGAAGAGACGTTTTAATTTAAGTAAGGGGGAGATATAATGTTCAAGCATAATTAACATAATTAGCATAATTAATATAGGAAATGCTGTCAATGTATTTTGAGTGACTTGATTGAAGAACCGATTAGAATCAAGAACATATTTTCTATGGTCTATATCTATGACGATATACAGAACACAATAGTTACTATTATTATTATTATTGTTACTATTATTATTATTGTTACTTTCATTCATTACATCTCAGATAATAAATTCAACCAGTTCGGCTTCTATACAAACTCCTTAAACCCTGTCCATTGGTTTCAGTTTGCTGACGATGCGGCAGTGGTTACTGGTCAAGAAAACGAAAATCAAATTCTCTTAAACCACTTCTCTAGATGGTGCTCTTGGGCAAACATGCATATTCGGGTTGACAAGTGCTCAACATTTGGAATTAAAAAATCATCTACTTCATCTGTTCAGTTTCTACCCAAACTTATTGTCAATAAAAACATAGTTCCCACTGTTGAAAAAGACAAATCTTTTAAATATCTTGGTAGATACTTCAACTTTCCTATGGATAATAGTGATCATATGTCAGAACTATTGGAAACTGTCAACTCGTTAATGTCCAGTATCGACAAATTGTCGTGTCATCCAAAGAACAAAATTCTGTTATACCACCGATATGTGCTATCCAAAATTTCCTGGAACCTGACCATCGCTGATTTAAGCAAGACATGGGTGACAGAGAAAGACAATGTTGTTTCAAGCTTTGTTAGACAATGGCTCGAGCTGCCAATAAGTGCTTCACTAAGTAGCCTCGTCATTCCAAAATCGAAATTTGGCATCAATCTCATTCTTCCATCTACCAAGCTCTTACAATGCCAAACAGTTATCCGCAACTCTTTAAGACTGTCCCCAAACCAAGAGATTTGCTCTTTATGGAAAGACTCTAGCACTGGTACAAACATACAATATGACGTTTATCGCAACACCAAACAAGTTCTCAAATCCATCCAAAGTGAACACGAAAACCGCATTGAAAACGTTCTTACATCTCAAGGATTTATTATCCCCTGCATCTTAAAATTTGCTTCTAAGGGAACTAATCAACTTTGGTCTAGTGTCCAGAAAAAGTTACCAAAAAACATTTACAACTTTACCATCAAATACCTAAACAACACTCTTGCCACTAGGAAAAACCTCTGCAAATGGTCAATTACTCAGTCATCTGCCTGCTCTTTCTGTCTCCAATCAGAATCATTACAGCACATAGTCTCTAGCTGCAAGAATTACCTTGAACATGGTAGGTATACCTGGAGACATGATTCTGTACTTCTATATTTGGCTAAAATCCTTTCAACACCTAGAAACAGCTCACTTTACGCCGACCTGCCTTCATTTCTATCACCTTCTTTAATCACAGGCGACTCCTATCGACCAGATCTTGTCTTCGTAACTGAAGATCGAATCCTCTACATGCTAGAGCTTACTGTTGGGTTCGAAAGCAACATCGACGAAAACAGTACACGAAAAGCTAGGAAATATAACGACCTTATCAAGGAACTGAGCCCTGCCTATAAACGTGTTACCTTTGTTAACCTTTCTATGAGTGCCCTTGGCATTCTGGGAACCTCATCTACCTCTCTCTCTGACATGCTACACCAACTTAATTTTGACTCAAATCAAACTAAATCCATCTTGATGAAACTCATGAACATTTCTATCCGCTGCACCTACTATATCTTCTGTCGTCGAAACAAACCATGGCTAAGCCCCGAACTAATTGACTTTTAAATATTGTAATGCAGATAAGCCAATTATATGATGCCTGTAAAAGCGAGTCGTATAATTGTAAATTTAAAATGTATTCAATGAAAATGAGATGTTTAAAAAAAAATATTGCTATTATTTCATGGTGACGATGAAGGGCAGTCGGGCCTAATGGTGCGTCTGTCTGAAGTTTAAAAATTCCACGTAATCCGTCGTAACTGCCGTCGTTAATGCTGTTATTCACTACATCAAGTTAATATTCATGATTGTCAAGCCAAAAAGAGCAATTAAATCAGCCATAAGAGGAGGAAAGATATTTTTTGTTGGAACCAAGTTCGACTCAAATTTTGATTGCGAGGAAATCTATGATGATATCAGGTTATTGAATGGAGACGAGTGGGGAGCTTTTCAGGATAGGGAACGAAAATTCAGAGCGCTTTTTGCTTCGAAAAGGACGAACCACGGAGACTTTATTTGTCGTGGAATTATTGGTGACTGGATTAAAGTTGCAAAGATATTATCGGGGATATTTTACCAAAACAACAAGTTCTTGGCCAAGAGGGTGAATGGGTCGCAGTGGAGCGTGAACTTTTTGAAATTTGTTTGCCGTGGTTTGCGACTGTTCCCAAGGGATGACAATTATTGCATAAATAACGCTGTGGATAGAATTGAGTACATAAGTAAACAATTGAAATACATTAACAATACAATCATACCATTCTTATCGTCAAAAAGAAGAGAGAATAACAATAGCGACGAAGTATCAAAGGAAAAGCTGACCTGTTTGTGGTTACAGCGAAGGAAGAAGGCGATAGCTGTAATAAGGAACAACGGCTATTGGCCTAACATCGAGAATGCTATAATTTCAGTGCAACGGAATGAGGATTATTACGCTCAGTCGAGCAAATGTGCTGATTCTAATGGCTTTGAAGGTGTTGTACCTCCATTCTTTGATCGTGAGGAGGCATTGGCATCTGTGAATTATGGTCATTTTTTCAGCTATGATGAGATTGAATCTACTGTGAAAGGCTGCCCCAGTGGGAAGAGTTGTGGTGCCGATGGGGTTACTTACGAGGACATGAAGGAAATGTTTAGCGAAAATGGGTATGTTTTTGTGAATATCTTGAACGTTGTGCTTGTAAATTTGCGAATACCAACATCATGGAAAAAGTCAATTGTTCAGCGAATCCCCAAGAAGAATTTTAGTATCACTGATTTGTCAACGCTTAGGGATGTATCTCTTTTACCCACTTGTTACAAGGTGTTTTCGAAAGCAATCTGTAAACGAATCACCCCACACATATCCAATGAGATTGCTTTTTGGCAGCGTGCCTTCCTGCCCGATCGTGACAGACAGGAATTGATTTTTAGTTTGAAAGCCGCAATGGATGATTTCAGACACTTAAGTACAAAGTTTTGTGCAGTTTTTGTGGATTTTGCGGATGCGTTTGGGAGCATTGAGCATAGTTTTCTTTTTGAAACTCTCCGGGAATTTGACATTCCTTTGATTTATTGTTGCTTGGTCGAAGATCTATACCGTTACTCTTCGTTTTCTGTGATTTGTGGGTTTGAATTGAGTAAAGAGTTCAATATAATCAGAGGAACAAAGACAGGTGACCCTTTGAGTGCACTTTTATTCATATTGGTGATTGACAGAGTATGCAAGCCTATGGTAAAAGAGGCTGTTATCAGGCAGGGCATCGAAGATGAAAGAAGGATTAATCCATGTCCATTGCAAGCTTTTGCGGATGATGTTGTTGTTGTCAGTTATGACGTAACGATTATAAATGAGATGTTTGATATTGGACAAGTTGCCATGAAGATAGCAGGTTTAGAAGTGAAACCCAGTAAATGTGCAGTTATGTATGCAAGGAGGTCTGGGAATAACTGGTACAAAGGCAAGGCAGATAAAAAGCCAACTGTGTCAATTCAAGGAAATGTCATCGAAGTTTATCCCCGTGACAAGTCCTATAAGTATCTTGGAAAGTCTCTCTCACTTTTCGGCGAAGATGCTGTGCAAGTGTATAAAGTTATAGAAAGTTATAAAGATTTATTGGAAAAAATAACAAGCTGCAAATTGCCCCTTGCTCTAAAGGCTAGTGCTTTAAATAACTTGGCTCTCGCGAAGATTCTCCACCATTTTTACAATACAAGGTTTACAGAGGAGCAGTTGGAACTCATGGAAAAGTCCTTGGTGAAGGCAGTTCGAAATATGTACGATTTGTATGAAACAACAACACAGCTCATCATCTTCTTACCACGCGAGCACGGAGGGATTGGAGTTAAGCGTGTGTCAGATGTGTATAGGTCAACAAGGGTTGCATTTCTCATTAAGATGTTGAATCATCCCCAATTACATTTCAAGAACATTGCACGTCAATCCCTTAATTTGGATATGGAAAAACGGAAAGTTGCTTCAACAGATAATGATATGAACTTCCTTGGGTTTGAGATTAGTGAAGACGGCTACCTGAATAGTCGTACCAAATTTGGGTGTCAATCAGATTGGCCAGATCTTCTGAGATATGCTAGAAAGCTAGATGTTTCCATTGAGTTCAGGCAAGGAAAGGCTGGAGTAATTATTAATGGTGAATTTTTTGATGAAGGTGCTCCACTTCAAAAGTTGCTATTCAAACAGACAGTTAATCGAGATTTGCAAAAAGCAAAGCAATTGTCAGTTCAAGGCCCCTTTCTCTGCATGACTGATGTTCAGTTGAAATCCTCCCATTCAATTTTTTACAACTGGAAAGTAAGTGATTTACTGGTGAAGTTTGCAATAAAAGCACGGTTGAGTCTACTTCCAACAAACTTCACAAAGCATGTATGGAATCGTGATAATGACCCTTCTTGCCCCTTTTACCATCAGCACACGGAAAGTGTCGCACATCTGATGAATGGATGTAGAGAGTTTCACAACTTTTATAGTCGACGTCACAATCGAATTGCTGACAAAATATTTGAGGTGATCTCAGGAAGTATAAGTGGTTTCCAGTTTCATGCAAACAAACTTGCAGAATCAATAATAACGGAATATGGTGATGAATTACAGCGTATTACGCATCGTAAACCTGACATCATTATCATTGACAATCAGTCACGTAAATGCATTATCTTAGAGGTGACTGTCTGCTACGATCTGTATTTTGAGCAAGCACTGAACACCAAAGAGAAACGGTATCAGCCGCTGTGCAGTCTGCTGCAGTCGTTAGGTTGGGAGGTGGATTTGAAAGTGCTTTGCTTTGGCTCACTTGGTTGCATCAAAAAGGATGTTTGGACTGTTATGAGATCATTGTCAGTAGATAAGTTGATTGTAAAGAGCACATTACAGTGGTGCTCGGTATCAAATTTGATAAT